TTTTTGTTTTTGTTTTTGTTTTGAGAGAGAGAGAATTTTAATATTTATTGTTTTAGTTTTCGGCGGACACAACATCTTTATTTGTATGTGGTGCTGAGGATCAAACCCGGGCCTCACGCATGCCGGGCTAGCGTGCTACCGCTTGAGCCACATACCCAGCCCGCTCAAATTGTTTTTAATTTGGCCAATGTGAGCCTCTTGGCTTGGTTCCTATATCCCTTTGACATAGCCTCATGATTTTTGAGCATATCTTACTTTTTTGAACAGGAAGATGTTCCAGGTTCATCTTTTACTTGCCTTGCTTCAGCTCTGTAGTCAGGTACTTTTACAAGGAAACCTAGTTGCTTTTCATGGAGATTGGTTTTTAGAGACCAAGATCTGTGTGCTCATTGTGTTCATTGTTCCTGATGTGTCACTGCTTCTAGGCCATCTCAGTAKATAAAACTTGGACATGCTTTATATATAAATACACATATGTCTAGAAGAAGGAAGCGAGCACGCAGAACTCCATCCTGTCTGGGTCCTCTACCCTGACTGTAGGTGACTGCAGGGTAGGCACGCATTACCTTCACATTACCTTCAGCTCTCAGTCCTACAGAAAGGTTTGGAGGAACTAGGTCAATTTCAAGAGTCCTTAAAACTCTAATTTGTGATGTTTTAGCCAAGAAACTAAAAACAAAACATAATGAATTCCTGGGATAAAAAGTATGGCTATAGAGTGTGGAAATTCTTTGGGAGCTTGCCTTGAATGCCTTAGTACAGGGGTACATTAGTAAACTCAGCCATAGAAACTTCAGTAAGCATCAGCTGGGGCCTCAGTATCGTGAATGCACTGTTCCCATTCTAGAATGCAAGATACTGTAGCCTATTTTTTTTTTTGTGTGTGTGTGTGTGTGTGTGGTGCTAGGGCTACACATGTTCCACTTTCTCTGGTGATAGTGGTTAATCTAACGGTGGGGAAGAATGCAAGGTGGTCCCCTAAATCTCTGATATGTTGAATTTTGTCCCCACAAAAGATAGATTAATGTTCTAATGCCCAGTACCTCAGAACATGTCCTCATTCAGAGATAGAATTCCTGCAGATGCAATTAATATGAGGCCCCTTAATCCAGTATGACTGCTGTCTATGTTAGAGGAGGACGGGAGACACAGAGACATGGACATGATGGGGGAAAGCCCTGAAATAAGGGACTCTGAGACTGGAGTGAGGTATCTAAACCAAGGAACACCAAAGGCTGCCCCAGAAGCTGAGAGAGACCAGAAGGCTTTTTCTGTATCTATTGAGRTCATGTGATTTTGTCCTTGATTCTATTTATGTCTATTACGTTTATTGATTTGTAAATGTTGAAACATTTTTGCAGCCCTAAAATGAAATCAACTTGATTATGATGTTTAATCTTTTTAATGTGCTATTGAATTTGATCTGAAAGTGTTTGTTAAGGATTGTTACATCTTTGTTCATCAAGGATATTGTCCTGTAATTTTCGTTTCTTGATGAGTTTTACCCAGTTTTGATTTCATTGTGATACCAGTTTTGTATACTGAGTTTGGAGGCATTCCCTCCCTTTCTATTTCAAGTACTAATTAGATAATTGGCCTTAGTTGTTTTGGTATGTTTGTTTATTTATTGTATGGTACTGGGAATTGAACCCTTGGGTGCTTTATCACTGAGTTACACCCCCAGCCCTTTTTATTTTGAGGGAGGGTCTCATTTAGTTCCCAGGCTGATATTGAACTTGCATTTCTCCTGCCTCAGCCTCCTGAATTGCTGGGATCATAGATAATGTGCCACTTTGCCTGGCTGCTGTTAGTTCTTTAAAGATCTGGTAAAATTCAGCTGTGACTCTATTACGTCCTGGGTTTTCTCTGTTGGGAGGCTTTTTTTTTTTTTTAATATGTATATATAGTTTTTGATAGACACAACATCTTTATTTTATTTTACGTTTTTATGTGGTGCTGAGGATTGAACCCAGAGCCCCACGCATGCCAGGCGAGTGCGCTACCGCTTGAGCCACATCCCCAGCCCACTTCATCTCTAATCTTATTAATTGAATTCTTCCCTCTGGATTTCTCAAGGGAGCATGACCCTCCCATCACATTGAGGACTGACTTCTATACCCCAGATATGTGAGACAATAAATTTTCATTATTGTGAGCTAAAACACACACACACACACACACACACACCCCTAAAACTATTTTTCAATATATAACATAATATATATGCATATTTTATATTAACACTTTGTATTTCTCTCCTTGGAGTTTACTTTCTGCTCTTGGAACACACTAATTTAGCTACAACTATACCTCTTTTCCCCGTTTCCTCCTATTAACAAAAGAAAAAATATATCTCCTCTATTCTAAGATTAATTTCTCTAATCTGGCTTCAAGACTCTTCTTCCAGGGCTGGGGTTGTGGCTCAGTGATAGAGCACTTGCCTCGGATGTGTGAGGCACGGGGTTTAATTCTCAGCACTACATATAAAAAATAAAGGTCCATCAACGACTAATAAAAATATTTTAAAAAAGACTCTTCTTCCGCTCATTTCACTCAAGATATTGCAATTCTAACTCTCTATCTGGCAGTTAGGAAAGGATATATAAGCTGTGATATACCACCCACTACAGTCCTTCCCCTACCACCACCACTCCAGCCTTCCATTCTCCCCCACCCTTTCACCTCTTCCACTTCTACCATTGTAGTCAAGATTCCTGTGATTCATAATCTAATGATAAGCCAGTTAAGCTGGGTGCAGTGTTATATGCCTATAATTCCAGCAGTTTAGGAGGCTGAAGCAGGAAGATCCCAAGTTCAAAACCAGCCTCAGCAACTAATTGAGGCCCTGTCTCAAAATAAAATACAAAAGGGGCTGGGGATGTGGGTCAGTGGGTAAGCAACCCTGGGTTCAATCTCTGATACCAAGAAATTTAAATAAAGATAATTCAGTGAGATAGACATCAATTTTCTGCTATTATATTGGAAACAATACATTTACAAGTTCTTTGGTTAACTTTTTGAAATGTGGCACTGATTTTGTTTTCTAATTACAACATAAATGAGTGTTTAACAACAACAACAACAACAAAAAAAAAAACCCTGGGGATGGAGATGTAGTTCAGTGGTAGAGTATTGGCTTAGCCTGCTGGAGACTCTGCATTAGATTCCCAGCACTGAAAACAAAACAAAATATCAAGGGAAAAAACTCTCCTTCCACCTACAGATATCCCGTTAACATTTTGGTGGATGTCCTTCAAGTCATTGTTTAAAATACATATTTGTTTTTATTAATTAATATGGCAGGCTTTTATATTAGTGTTATATAAGCAAAAAAAGAATTCGACTAGCTAACATCTTAGATGGGTGATTAATCTTTAAGTTAAATTTTAGTATTTATTTTCTAGGTATTTTATTCTAGGTGTTTATAACCTTAGCTCTTCTTTTTCAAATCATTTTCTAAAGTCAAGATACATCTGAGAAATCTCAGGACTGTGATGTACAATTTAAAGCAAAGCGTGATTTTCTAATGAGTGGTTTGCCAGATTTGTTGAAACGACAAATTGCAAAGAAAGCTGCTGTTCTGGATGTGTACAATTCATTGAGTACCAGTTTCCAGAAAGTTGTTCATATACAACAAAAAGATGATGGTAAGTTTATTATTATTGAACATTTACTCTTTTTTAACTGTTAGAAGTAATATAAAATTATATAGGTAGTTTAAAATGAAGCTAAGTTTTCTTAGCCTCAGGTCATTCTTTTTGTGATTTTAGTGGGAATTTTAAGTATATGTTTCATCCTCTTTTCCTTAGCCTTTTACTCAGTTTAATGAGAATGGAGGTTTGCAGAGCAAGGAAGCCAAAGGGAACCTTCCTCCATACCTTGTCAGAAACATGCAGGAAAGTGTGAAGGACCTTGAGTGAATATTCTCTAGACAGGCACTATGTTCTAAAAGGAAGGCAGTTCCTCTCTGAAATCAGAGCAGATCATCTTTATTTCTCTGAAGTGCTGGGAATTTAGCTCACTGGGAGAGCACTTGGCCTAGCATGCATGAGGCCCTGGGTTCCATCACCAGCACTCTTTAAAGAAAAAAAAAAGTGTGTGTGTGTGTGTGTGTGTGTGTGTGTGTGTGTGTGTTTGTAAGTAAACACACACACACATTTGTCCTGTCCATTATTATTATATGCTCAGAGAAATCCATTCACATCCTTTCAGAACAGCTTCAACTATTTAGTACCATATTAGTCTCTTCATAGAATACACAGGTAACAAGTAGCAAGGAAGCTGTGCAAAAGTATCTTATTCCATGGTGTCAGCCTAATCATAATCCAGTTTTATTTGGATTCAGATGCTATAACAACCATAACCTTTACTTGCAGTTTTTAGTTACTGATAAAGTACAAAAAAGGCTTTTATCATTACATCAGCATTACTTCTACCCAGAGATGTTTTTGTTTAATTTTATTTTGTAGCTTCAAGGTTCTGGGGCTGGTGTTGTAGCTCAGTGGTAGAGTGCTTGCCTAGCAAGTGTAAGCACTGGGTTTGATCCTCAGTACCACATAAAAGTAAATAAGTAAATAAAATAAAGATTTTTTTAGAAAGACAAGTTCAGCTCAGCTGGTTTTGAGGTTTGGTTTTGTGCATTCCTCATGACCATGAAATGCATGTTGTTTTCTATTCTTTTTTCTTTTCCTTTTGTGTTTCTGACCTTATTACCTAATAAGTTTTGTTCAGCCTCTTTTGGTATAGGGAATTTCTCAGTCTAATAATTTTTTCTGCTTTTCCCTATTTTGCATTTCTGCCACTGTCATTAAGTTGATGAAAAAAAACCTTTTTTTTTTTCTTGTGGTCTTGGGAACCAAACCCAGAGCCTCATGCATGCTGGGCAATTACTGTAACACTGAGCTATATCCCCAATTCAACCTTTTTTAATATCATGTTTAAATATAACAATGGATTGTGCTTTTTTTTTTTTTTTTTCCTGAATGCGATTTTTCAAAGAAGTGCTACTATAAAACTTAGCATTCTTTCTTTCTTTTTTGTTGGGGGCAGGTGTTGCTAAGGATTGAATCCAGGGACATTCTACCATTGAGCTATATTTCCAGTCCTATTTTTCATTTTCAATCAGGGTCTTGCTAAGTTGCCTAGGCTGTCCTTAGATTTGCAATCCTCCTGCCTCAAACTCCAGGATCACTGGGATTATAGGTGTATATTTCCATGCCTGGCCCAAATTTAGTATTTTTGTTTTTAGATGAGCAGATGAGGCAAGAACTGGGGGAATCCCCTTTCTTTTTCATCCTTAATAATTATGAAGTACTCATTGTTAATCGGAATTCTGCTGAGCACTTATCACACTCATTTTACCACACTCATTTGGAATCTTGTTCATATAAGAATGATAGTTGGCAGAATTTGGATTGGAATACAGATTTGACTTTAAAGTTTAAACTTTAAATGAGTTTGCTAATACCCCCTAAAATCCTAAAAATTTTTTTTAAATATTTATTTTTTAGTTTTAGGTGGACACAATATCTTTATTTTATTTTTACTTGGTGCTAAGGATCGAACCCAGTGCCTCCTCACACATGCTAGACGAGCACACTACCACTTGAGCCACATCCCCAGCCCCAAAATCCTAAAATTTTTACCCTAAGTATCAAAACTGATTAAAAAGAAATGAAAGTTTGCTAATATGTGCTTCTTTTAACAACTGGGAAGAATTTTTATTAATTATATTTGTTAGAGGTAAGGATATTGTTCCCTTTGTACTCATTTGGGTTTTTGGTACTTTTATGATAACAATGTGGTTGTCACATCATTTTTGTTTGTTTTTTGTGGTGTTAGGATTTATCAAGTCTTTTCATATTCGACATTCAATAAACACAGTATAAAAAGTTAATTAAGATAGTTTTTCTGTTTCTCTTCAGGGTGTTGGTTATGGAATTTGAAACTACCTTCTTGTCCTCTGTTAACTACATTTAAGGAGTCTAATACTAAAGTAATAGATCTCTCAAAATGTGTTATTGCTCTTGGTGAATTTTCAACATTGAATTCAAATTCAAAAAGTAATTCTGCTGTCATGGTAAGTCTAGAGAGCTAATCTGTTGTTGTAGGGCATTTTGTTCACATCTTTCAGAGGAAAAAAATTGGATGCTACTTTTTTAACCTAGAATTCCTTTTCTTCCCCTAATGTCCAATTTTTTAAAAGTGTATCTAATTGAAATACAGATTTCTTTTAAATATTCACAGAGTTACACATGTGCACACACACACACACACACACATACATGATTTCAGTTCTGGGGATTGAATCCAAGGACAATCTAGCTCTGGGCTACATCCCCATCCTTTTTTTTTAAGAGAGAGAATTTTTTAGTTTTCGGTGGACACAACATCTTTATTTTATTTTTATGTGGTGCTGAGGGTCGAACCCAGCGCCCCACGCATGCCAGGCGAGCGCGCTACTGCTTGAGCYACATCACCAGCCGCCCCTATCCCTTTTTAATTTTTTTAAATTTTGAGACAGGTCTCCCTAAATTGCCTAGGCTGGCCTTGAACTGGCCATCCCCCTGCCTCAGCCTCTTGAGTTGCTGGGATTACAGGCGTGTGCCACCACACCCAGTAAATACAGAGCTTGAAAAACATTTTAAGAATTAATAATAGCCGGGCTGGTGATGTGGCTCAAGCCATAGTGCACTGACCTGGCATGCGTGCGACACAGGTTCAGTCCTCAGCACTACATACAAACAAAGATGTTGTGTCTGCCGAAAACTAAAAAAAAAAGATAAATATTAAAAAATTCTCTCTCTCTCCTCTTTTTTTTTTTAAAAAAAAAGAATTAATAATAGCCAACTTCAAAGAAATGTTAGATTATATAGCACAATTAGATGCTTTATAAGTCAGCACTGTTTAATAGTGTGTAAAGTACAATTACTTGTAAAGAAAAAATATATGAAATAAGTCTTTCAAAAATTATGCAAGTGCAGCTTTGTGTTTAATGACTAAAGCTAATCCAACATTTATATTGACTTAATATGAACAGAACATAGTTGGTAGTTTTGTGATTAACATTCATAAATGATATGTGTTTGCTATTATGCATTTTATTCTTCATTGCAGCTTATAAGGACAAGGAAGAATTTTACTAACGAAGTAAGAAATCTTTTGCTAGAAGAAATTAGGTGGTCAAATCCTGAATTTTCTATGGGAAAATATTTTCCCTTGCTTCTAAAAAAACAAATTGAGCACCAGGCACTTTCTGAGTATCATGGTAAACAAGGTTAGTGATCATTGTTATCATTAATGTTAATATTTTGGTTTTGAAACATAAAGACTTAGGCTTTGACTCTTAGAAGCAGCCACCATAGACAGAACATTGCTTCCAGATGGCAAGGAGAAATGTTAACTTCAAGCAAAGCATCTTGAGCAATGCAATATTAGTGCCTGCCAGCTTCCGTAGATGTCAATCCAAAGGCAGTTTTAATTATAAATCATTCATTTAAGGAAAGCCAGATAAGAGGATTTTAACTTACATATCTTATACAAAAGGCACTCAAATATTAAAAGTCTCAGCTTACTTTCAGTATGTCACATTCCATTCTTACCTTTTCATCTTAATGTCATAAGACTACAGGCTAATTAGAAGTGATATGAAGATTATTGAGTGTTGAAAATGCTTTTTGTTGATTAACAGCACATGCATTTTATGATTTCCCAAATCAGAAAATCCACAAGTAGAGCTTGATAACAATCAAARAGAAAGCAAAAGGAAACGAGTGGAAATAGAAAATCAGAAGTCAAAAAGAAAGAAACCAAATGAATATTCAGTAAGTCCAGTAAAGATAAATGGGAAGCCAGAAGAACTTGACAAAAGAAACAACTCTTTTGAGAAAAAGCTAGGTTCTTCCAAAGGTATATTTTCTAAAATGTCTCGGAAGAAACAAACTGCTTTGAGTACACCATGTAAAGTGAAAACAGGAGCAGTAGAAGATGATGATATTCTGATCATAGATGGTGACAGAGAGTTTCCAGCAGAAATATCTTCCATTTCTGGTAAATTGGATTTTCTTCCTCTCAACTTAGAACTTGGTTTTTAATCTCTCATTCTTTTTCCGTCTCTGCATTATTTTTTTTAAACATTTAATTTTTAGTTGTAGGTAGACACAATATCTTTATTTTATTTTTATGTGGTACTAAGGATTGAAACCAGTGCCTCATGCATACCAGGCAAGTGCTCTACCTCTGAGCCACATCATCATCATCATTATTTTCATTATTATCATTATTATTATAATTATTATTATTGGTACTGAGATTGAACCTGGAGAATGTTTAACCACTAAGCCACATCCCAGCCCTTTTTATTTTTCATTTTGAGACATGATCTCACTAAATAGCTCAGGGCCTAAGTTGCTGAGGCTKGCTTTGAACTGGGATCTTCCTTCGTCAGCTCCATGGCTGTTCAGATTACAGTCATGCACCATCAAAGCCAGCCATTTTCCCCTCTCTCAAAAAATTTTTTTGAACTAGGCGCAGTGGTGCACCCTTGTAATCCCAGTGACTCGGGAGTTCAAAGCCATCCTCAGCAATGGTGAAGTGCTTAACAACTCCCTGAGACCCTGTCTCTAAATTAAATAAAATACAAAATAGGGCTGGAGATGTGGCTCAGTAGTTGAGTGCCCCCAAGTTCAATCTCCAGTACCAAAAAAAATTTTTTTTTTCCTTTTTTTAAATTTTGAGCTGGGTTCTTGCTATGTTACCAGGCTGGGCTCGAACTCAAGATCCTCCTGTTTTAGCCTTCCTTTTTTTTTTTTTTTTTTTTAATGTTTATTTTAGTTGTAAGTGACCTTTATGTTATTTTTATGTGTTGCCGAGGATGGAACCCGGAACCTCACATGTGCTAGGCGAGTGCTTTACCACTGAACCACAATCCCAGCCCTGTTTTAGCCTTTTTAGTAGCTGGGACTGTGGGCAGACACCACCATTCCCTACCACCCTTTCTTTTAATGTACATCTATTGCAATTTTTAAACAATGTATGTCCAACGTATTCCTTTGAATTCATCCATTTTATATAAACTTTATGTATAATTTAATATTTGGTATTGCAAGTCACCAGTCTTTTTTTTTTCCTGTGGTGCTAGGGATTGAATTAATATTTAGTTTTTCTATTAGGAGTATAGCATTTGTCTTTTTATACTGATTGACGTCATATGGTGTTTTAAATATTTTCATTGGTCAAAAGAAACCACATATGCTGCCTTTGTTCTATAGATGTTTGGGTTTTATAAAAATTATTTTTAATAGTCATATTTCTTGATTGGTTGTTAAATTTTAAGATGTACTTCTTTATACCTTTCATGAGATTTAATGGTGGTTAGGTTTGGGGTTTTTAGTACCAGAGAATAAATCCAGAGGAGCTTAACCCCAGAGTCACATCCCCAGCCCTTTTTATATTTTATTTTGAGACATGGTCGCATTGAGTTGCTTAAGGCCTAACCAATTTGCTGAGGCTGGCTTTGAACTATGATCTTCCTGCCTTAGGCCCCAGGGATTGCAGACCTGCATGCCCACTGAGTGCAGTAGTTAGTTTTTTTGTTACTGTTGTTGCTTTTTTTTTCCCCCAGGGGGTTGGATTTGGTGTAGAAAATTTTAAAGTAATGTTTAAGTTTTAAAAATTACATTTTTGGCATTTTATAAATGTAAATATTTTTACAAATATGTATTATTTCATTATAAAAAATGTAAATGTCTAAGAATATATGCTTATGTCAAGGAGTGAATACTATCTTAGCTTTTTCTTTTCTGCTTTAGATTCTGGAACTGAAGACATGCTTTGGACAGAAAAGTATCAACCTCAGAATGCCAGTGAACTCATAGGCAATGAGTTAGCTATAAAAAAGTTACATAGGTTGGTGAAATTTTTAAAGCATTAAAAATTTTTATAAATTTAGTGTTCAGTTAAATCTAAAAGTTAGAAATTACAAACTAACATACTAAATGGGAAACATCATTAAAAAAAAAGAATTTTAAGTGAAGTTTCTCTCTTCTCATATTTCCACTGCCCAAGGTTACTGCTATTAAAACTTATTTTTATAATATCTAAAGTTTAAGAGATGTTGATATTCTGTGAATTTTCTTTTTATTAATATACTTTATGACAGTTGGTTGAAAGACTGGAAGAGAAGAGCTGAACTGGAAGAAAGACAGAATTTGAAGGGAAAAAGAGAAGAGAGACAGGAAGGTATTTGACTCATTTTTTTTCTTCTTAACTGAACATTTTTTTAGAGTTAAATTAGCTYGGGGCTGGGCATGTGGCTCAAGCGGTAGCGCACTTGCCTGGCATGCATGCGGCCTGGGTTCGATCCTCAGCACCACATACAAAGATGTTGTGTCTGCCGAAAACTGTGATCCAGTAAAAAAAAAAAACTAAAAATAAATAAATAAATAAATAAATAAATAAATATTAAAATTCTCTCTCTCTTAAAAAAAAAAGAGTTAAATTAGTTCAAACATTTTTATGTAATTTTAAAATTAGTATATAATATTTGGCTTAACTTTTATAAATTCATTTTCCAGTATTTATTGTCAAGAAATTTCAGGGGACTGGGGTTGTGGCTAAGTGGTAAAGTGCTCGCCTAGCATACATGAGGCGAGTTCGATCCTCAGCACCACATAAATGTAAAATAAAGATATTGTGTTCACTTAAACCTAAAAAGTAAATATTTTTAAAAAAAAGAAATTTGGGGTGTTTGATTATTGGGTTTCATGAGATAGAATTGCTGCCTAAACAATTAATCATTTTATATGTTTTTGAATAATTTTTCAGATTTGTCAGATAGCAAAGACTTTAAAGGCAGTTCAGATGATGAGGAAGAGAGTCGTCTTTGCAATACTGTTCTTATAACAGGGCCAACAGGAGTGGGAAAAACTGCTGCAGTGTATGCTTGTGCTCAGGAGCTTGGATTCAAGGTTAGTAGGTGCAGTGGAAGAATGTTAATGTTAATAAGTAACCTTGACCTAAAAGAAAACATAAAGTATTCTGCCATTTTCTCATTTATTCTTCTAGATATTTGAAGTAAATGCCTCTTCCCAGCGCAGTGGTAGACAGATTCTGTCTCAGCTGAAGGAAGCTACTCAGTCCCATCAAGTAGACAAGCAAGGTGTAAACTCACAAAAACCCTGCTTTTTTAACAGCTACAACATAGGCAAGTCACCGAGTAAGTAAATTATTTTTCTTAAGGTATAGCCTTTTGAGAAAAGTAAAACCTGAGAAAATAGTTTTAAATTGTCAACATTTTGCTTTTTTTTTTTTTTTTCCCATAACTGGGGTATAGAATCTAGTAGTATTCCCCATTTTTTTTTTTTTTTTAGTTTATATTTGAGACAGGGTCTAGCTAAATTACCCATGCTGGCCTTCAACTTGGGATCCTCCTGCCTCAGTCTCCTGAGTAGCTGGGATAGCACCATGTCTTGCTTGCCATTCATTTTAAATCTTTTCTTGCATATTAACATGTTTTGTTTTGTTTTTTCCCCTGGACTATTTTAAAACAAAATAAATCTGAGGGACTTCATGTAATTTTACCCACATATACTTTCTGTTTTCCTAAATATTTTTTTGTAGTTGTAGTAAGACACATTACCTTTAATTATTTAATTAATTAATTAATTAATCAATCAAATTTTTTGTGTGTGGTGCTGAGGATCAAACCCAGGGCCTCACACATGAGGCTCTACTACTGAGCCATAACCCCAAACCACCCCCCAACACATATGCTTTTAACCAATAAAGGCTTTTTGAAAAGCATATCAATAGTATCATAATCAGGTCTAACAAAATGCAATATATTACTTAATATCCTCTAATATACTGATTTTTAGTTTCCTGTTGTTCACATTGTTTGTTCAAATCAGGATCCAAACAAGGTTCATATCTTATATTTAGTGGTTTTTTTTTTTTTTTTTAATCTCCTTAACAATTCCCTGACCCATTATTTTCATGTTGTTTATATGTTGAACAGCCTGTCATTTGCCATAGGATTTCTCGTAGTTTAGACTTGGCAATGACTGTATCCTCACACTGTCAGTTAACATTTTCCTCTTCCCTATATTTCTTATAAATTGGTGGTTAGATAGTGGGGCTTGATTAGATTCAAGTCTGTTTTGTGTGTGGCATATGTGAATAGGTAGGCTTCTACTTCTTATGACATAGCAGCAGAACACACATCCTTCTTAGTGATATTGAGAGTAATCAATGAATTCAAGTATTTTCATTCTGACCCATATACCATAACCTCTCTTACCTTTAGTTAATGGTACTTTAGACCCACTAATGATCTTTGTCTAATGGAATAATTATTGTTAGGGATTTTAAAATGATGATATTGTAATTCTCTCAGCCTTTTTGCATTTATTAGTGGGAATTCTGAGAAGCACTATTCTTTGTCAACTATTTGGATACTTTAAAATATAGTTCATAGATATAAACTGTATTTTAAAATGGTTCTTTTTTATTTTTCTGTACTGGGGATTGAACTCGGGGGTGTTTTATCACTGAGGTACATCCCCAACTCCCTTTTWAAAAAAATTATAATTGTAGATGGACAGAATGCCTTTATTTTAGTTGTTTATTTATACATTGTGCTAAGAATCAAACTGAACCCAGTTCCTCACACAGATGCTAGGCAAGTGCTCTGCCACTGAGCTGTAGCCCCAGCCCTTCACATCCCTTTTTAATTTTTATTTTGAGACAAGGTCTGACTAGGTTATTTACATCCTCACTAAATTGATTAGGCTGGTTTTTTGTTGTTGTTCTTGTTCTTTTTAGTTATATGTGACAATAGAATGTATTTTGAGGGGGGTTGGGGTAGAGCATTTGACTAGCATGTGTAAGGCACTGGGTTTAATCCTCAGCAATACATAAAAATAAGTAAATAAAATAAAGGTAATGTGTCTATCTACAACTAAAAAGAAAAAGAAAAGAATGTATTTTGATTACTATACATGCATGCAGTGTAACTTTTCATTCTTGTGGTTGTACATGATGTGGAGTTACACAGGTCATATATT